GAGTATTTCCTTTGGTTTGAACTTTTGTGCGCGCCTGCCGTGCGCTGACCATTGGAGCTCCCTTAGAGTAGGAATCGTTTGTCGTTCGTGAGGACGGGCCGACGTCGTACTGTTATGTACTGTCTATTTCTAATACGTTATCATCTGTCATCAAGAAGCCGATGTAAGGGTGTTAGTTGAGCCACAGTGTGGCGTAAGAAAAAAGGGCTGGTACGGTACAGTACATATCGTGGAAACTGTATCGCTTTCAATTAAAAAGATACGTTACCGAGCGGTGAGCCTCAGCCTTGCTGCCTTGGGGAAAAGTCATCCATCAGGCGATGAAATCGTCCCGGTCGGTGTCCAGTCTCAGGCGGTGAGCTCAACCCTAGGCGGTGAACTTATAGTAGCAAGCTGTAAATTTACCTCAGGTGCACTGTCAGAAGCAGACGATCTCATTATCGATTGCTCTTTCATGCTCTAACTTTCAGATGTTGCACCTGAGCTACTTTGTAGTGTAAGTAATCTAGTTCCGTGACCAAGGCTATCGATATCACTACTTCAACATTGTGTATATCAATGAATCCAATGCCCTCTTATAAGGATACTTTTAGATGGCTTTATGTGATGGATCTACTTGTCAGGGTAGAAAGCCCGCCCACCAGGTAAGGAATCAACCATGAAACACTGTAGATGCGTGTATAAGTGACAAAGGTAGCCTATATCCACAGCATAGACTAATTCTTGAGGGATCAGTCGCCTAACGATAAGGGGTCCCCATTCTATACATAACGAAAGAGGGTAGAACCGCTATCGATGACCTCACGACTCTTGACACCCGCCTTGGTATGTCATCCTGTCATATTTTATTTTAGCCTCTGAGAATAATTTAGCTAGATAATAGACATGCAATATTATACGGGAAAGGTCTTGCTTACCTATATTAGAAATCTAAGTATTGATTTATCTGTATAAGAAAGCTTTTTTGGATTTGCGAATAGTTTAGTATGAGACTACTACTTAAACAACATATCTTGATATGAAATGCGGTTGCACATGCAGCACTTAATATAAGATAAGAACATCTTGATTAAAAGCCTCAACTGCAAGAGCAAGTTTTTTATTGTAAGGTAAGGCCTCCGTTACGAAGAAAGGTGGATTGTATAGCTTCAAATTGACTACTTAGTGATATACGTTGTTTTGGTAGGCGAACGCGACGGCCGCCGCCGCCGGTTCGGGTGCCCAATTACGTTAGTCGATACTTGATGACGTAATCCGTGGCCGGTCAGCCACACCTCCCTTACTGGTTTCGGCTTTGGTATCCGTTCTGTTTCGGGCTTATTTATTCGCCGTCCCTGCTTCTCATCGTCGATGGCTATACGGAAAATAGCCCACCGCTAGCAGTCGTGGCGGCTAGTAGGACCTACTTGCATTCCTCAATGTCTACCTAGATGAGGGTTTGGCTCCGCTCAGACCAAGAGACGGAGTTCGCCAAATCCTCTTTACCTTCTATATACGGGGCGTGTTTCAGAAGCCATTAACATGAACTGTCACATTATAGCGTCTTGCCAGTGATGAATCGTAAACCGTATGTGTATAACATCATCATAGGTTGAGTTTTGTACAGTAATTCTTATCACATGACCATGCATAACGGGGTTTATTGTGAAGCGATGGATGCTTATCTATTGAATGGTACCCGGCGCAGGACCTGAAACCTACTATATCTAATGAGTCTAAGCGAAGAGAGCTAAGCTACAGGGGACGGGCGTCACGTCTCAACATATTTTTGCCATCACGTGCGGGGATAGTGGCGATGATTCTCACCCGTAGCCGAAAGAGTCAGGCAGTAACAGTGAAGATACCCAACTCCATTTGAAATATGGTTGCGGCCAGGCTTTCCGGGCACTTCATTTTTAGCACGGGACGCTTTCGTCATCGAGTTCTTCATAAAACGAAGGCGATTTCCCCTTCTATTGCTTGGTGGGTTATTCCAAATTAACCCTCGGCTTCACTGCAATTACGGAGGGCTAACGCTAGCCATATGTGGCTTGACAATTGCCCCTCGGCCAGTTCCACACTACCGAACCCCTCATTTCACGTTGAAACTCTCCGTCTCGCCAAACTATCCGTCAGACAAAAATGCAGAATGACGATGGATATCTCGTTATTTCTGGTGAAGAACCACCTGACGACTTACTCGCTGCGGTTGAAGCTGAGATATCGTCCTCATTCCCGAGGAGATGTGGACCGAATGGGCAGCAGCTAATGAAGTTCGACGCGAAAGTATGTTCATATGGGCGTGTACCAGAGCTTATTCCGGTATTTAGCTGACAGTTACAGCTCCCTCATGAAGCATGGTTCCAAGAGTACCTCGGATGTTCGTCTTCCGACGCCAAAAAGGTCGGCGACACAATAGTCAGGTCGTTCAACAACAATCGAATTGGACGATTTGTTCCCGGGCCTCCTGGTACTGTGCTTATTTACAGAGCGGCAAGTCGGCAGGGCCTTAGTCCTGAAACTGGATTTTTTAGGATTGTGCCCAAGTCGCATCGAATGACAGCTGCCGAGATAAAACGGGCCAACTCCATATCGGTCATCCTTAGCGCCAAAGATACCTTGTACATGCCGGCGAATACAACTATCGAATATATCACATCCGGGAAGAGTGTGGCCCTTTGTGAGGCTTTATCTGCCTCACTCAACAATGACACTAGAATGGAGATGTGATGGGGTGAGATTTCATGTTGCCCTTTGATGCAAATATGTATTGATAAGATAGTCAATAACTATAGAAGAAGTTCGGATCTGAGTTGGAAACTGGAACTAGCAAGGTATCATGCGTCCACCCAGAGTCAAAGTTTGGGAAAGTCCAACACGGGTCAGAGTTGGGAAATGGCTGCTGATTCATAAGATCTCGGTCGGGGAAACCCTGCGAATGAAGGGGAGTGATTGCTATTTCATTACCTATGGATCCCTGCTCTGCTCCCGGCAAAAGGGAACGTTGAACTCCGTCCCTTTCGTGTACCGCTGTTTGCTCAGCCATTTGCGGTAAGAAACTGGTGCTGTCGATCTGCTGTGTAGGGCCAGACTGCTGCGAAGCAACTTCTATGTCACACGAGGGATTGAGGGAACCCTCCTGCTGGGGTGGTATGTCGGCAGAAGTGCACTTTCCGGGTTGGACGAATTGAATTTCAAGAGTCCCGGTGCTGTCTTCCCTATCCCCTCGGCGTCCGTATTCAGTGCAACGTTTGGAACTGCGCGTCCTCTGACCATTGCGTGTATCCCCATCCGATTCCCGGCAAAGACGCCGCCTTTTTGTACGCGCGTCTCGGTGATCTCCGGTCGGGGGATGTGGGGATACTGGGAGAACCATGGTAACTGATTCCTGAGAAATTGAGCGCGTTATAGAAGGCATAGGTGTGGTACAAGCATGTACGGTAGGGCCAAAGCAATCTTGAATTGCCTGTATAGTCGCCGACACAACTTGATAAGTAGATGTCACTGGATCGCTTTTGAGATACTCATTAATAGCACGGATGCCATCCTTGCTCGTACGGCCCCAACTGAGACTGGTCAGCCAACGAACCGAAATGCTTTTGATGCTTACCTTTTCCAGCTTGTACCCTTGATCGCAGCTAGCATACCAGCATCCAGACAAGACCATCGTTCTCCCTCTCGCAGCTTGGATCTGTGTTTCTTCCAGTCCTGACCAACACTCAGTCGCAATGCCAAATTCCGATATGACATACCAATTCTCAATGCATGTCCCTGTTTCTCAAGTTCTTGAGCTTTTGATTCTATCTGTGCCGTCAGGCGTCTGCATAGCAGTCGACGAGCTAACGGCGATGAAGAAGAATGATGCTCTATAGCGCTGACCGTCTGTTGGATGCTATTACCCGCATGCAGACTAGAGAACGACGTCCAAAATAGGCTTGGGTTTGCCGAATATTTCTCAAATGACTGCGTGATTTCCTTGACTTTGTCCTCCTTACACTCAACTGATTTCAGAAGTTTCACCAATTGTAATGTTTCGTCTTCCTCGACACCGTGACGACTACGAAAGTATTCCCGAACTGCGTCGTTGGACGCAGCGACGAGGGGTTCAATCACTCTTGATTCATTGCGGGTACGAGGTACGTCTTTGAGAGCTTGATTCAAATATAGAATGGTCGCTTTGGCATCGTCCTCGAACTGACGCCCTAGATCCTTGAGAACTTCCCCAAGATTCTGCTACGTCAGCTTCAAACCCAGGCATACAATGAACTTCACATACATTGTCAACTGGGAATAGTAAGTCGGCAAGCACTTCAAACTGTCTCTGGAGTGCTTTTCTCGTGCTCAGTGGAACAAGCGCCATGTTTGTGTTGGAGAAGTCAACTTTCCTTTGCAGTACCCCTCTTTGGGGAGGTTGTACTTTTTCAGAATCTGACTAATGTATACCATTCCCAGAAGGGTTTGATTTCGATTGCTCTGGACAATTGAAACCAACCCTTATTGGGAATCAAACTGAAACGCTTTTCCGAGCTCAATCGACCAAGTGCTTTTCGGTCAATGTCTTCCCCTCGATCCCGATTGGTGCAATCACTAGACCAAATCAGACGCTGTCAGCTGGAGCCCAAGCGGTCTCACAGTCCACAACCTCAGCTAGGTCGTGAGCATTTCGGAGAATGACCAATCTTGCTGGAAGTTATGACACCCAATGCATCTTATACAGAGAGCCATCCGTCGTGCATGGCAGATCAACCTACGCAGCGGATATTGGCTCCCAGTCATGCCTGTGGGAGTGCTGGGTCGGCCGGGCTACATCAGCCAGGCTGGGAGCAGTAACACGCAGCGGGTCAGAATTGTAACTGGCATTGTATATGATATGCAGCCCCATTGCAGTCGCTCCGTGCATAGCTACGCTGGCCTGCTCTGGTCATGGTTTTGAGAGGGTGGCTGGCTCATCTAGCTCAAATCGCCCCGCGAATTTGCGGCGAAAATACTTCCCGAGATCTTGAATTCTCATGTCTTGGTGACCCTGGGTCTTCCAAGAGAAGCACTGCGCCTAAGCCCCCGGTTCCCATCAGTGGCCTCCAGTGTCACTCCATAATCCCACTCCTCTGTCCCTGCACATAGCTGTTCGCGAGTATGCCCCTCCCACCCGCTTCGAGGAAGGAGGTAGTCGAAAGATCAGCAGAATCAGCGAACGAAGGCGACTATTATGTAATCGATCTCGCTCGGCGCGGAACTATTGTATGGATACCCCCTGCTGAGAGAAAGGGGGTTTTTGACGGTCGGAATACTGCCTGCACGGATGAAATTCTCGGACTGGGAAAGGGCATGAGCATTGATCTAGAGCTAGCACTAGAGCAGGATAGGAATGATCACCATGTTTAGCGGGATGAATGAAGTGAGGGATGAGAAGTATATGTAAGAAGTCGCACTGGGAGTACACACGTCGGATACCCTCTCCGTCAGATGCCATTTGTGTTGTGAACAATTTGAGTAGGTGCGTATGCTACGTACAAATTGGCGTTTAAAGTCCTGGAAGTATAAGGTCGCTTGACCTGTTGTTACGATGCGTAAGATGTCGGGGTTTTGGGAGGTTGAATCCTTCGTCCGAGACGTGGCACAACCCCCTCAGGGATTTGATAACTACCATTATGAACCGATCCAAGAAACAGCGTAGAATTTGGGAACCATGCAGATCCTCCGGCGCCAATATTGACGAATCGGCCATTGACCCTTAAGGAGGGGGGTCTCTACCTTGTCCAACGTTTACCGTGATTTGGTATTTGATTATGTGAGCTCCGGAGAACTGTGCCAGGCTCGTATGGGCCAAGTCCATTGTCTTCGGCTTAGGCCATGTCTATTTCAAAGCCAGGTTGACGCAGATCAATGAGTATGGTGACTCCAGAGTCGAAGAGACGACGCTCTCCAAACCATATTTTCCCTGTGCCAAAAGCCGACGAGCACACGAATGATCAACTCCAGTTGTACCGCACTCTAACACATGTCACAAGTCTGCCCTATGCGTGTCCTCTGTGTCTTCGTGGGTATAGCCGGTATGATAACCTCTACGGGCACTTCAGAAGGACGGAGGAGGCACAACACCGGGCGTTGAAGACCCTGTGGTTCGGTAGCAAATGCCCAGTTTGCAGCAAACCCACTGACCATGTCTTGCGACATGTGGCAATGCGACATCCTACGAATTACCAGAGTTTGATGAAGCCAACCTTGCGCTTAAAGCACGAAGCGGCCGCCACGATTCCTACATCGCCAGGATGTTTCAAGCATACGTTCCTTTTCCCTCTGAGACGAACAGACTGTGTTGTCAGCCTACCTCCCACTAAGCAGAAACGGAGGCCACACACACGAGACCACATCAACGAGACCCGAGAAGACATTGGACGTGAAAAAACATCCTTGAAGAAGCGAAAGATGGAAACTCCTGGTTCAGAACAAGACAATATTGGCGTTGGGGAAGGTCGTATCGAGGGACTGGCTCCTACGCATGCGGCGGAGCTCCCTTGTCATCCCACGATTATACATGACCCTCCTACATTCGTCAACATGATCGGTATGGAACTCATACATGTCGACGGAACAGAATATACAAGACTAATAATTTACAGGCCAAGGGTTCGATGATGGAAGCAGCCTAGACCAAGGAGGACTTTCCTGTCCAAATAATTCGTTATCCTTCCCATCTCCGGCACGATTCCCCGAAAATATTCAAGAATCCAGTATTGATTTGTCAGATCGGGGGCACTTGTCGAATCTAGGTGCAGGATACCAGGTACCTTGGGACATATTCCTTTCCACAGAAGACAACATACATCAGTACAGTGATAAGGATGGCTGGTAGGTTCCACGGAATTTATTTTATGTCTCACGACCTAAGGAGTCGCTGAAGACTCGAATATGACTTTAACACGCGTGGGAACAACTGTCATTAGAACCAATTTCCCGGTCAGACCAACATCCCTGTCCGTATATACGCCGCGCCCAAGCTCTAAATGCTTTCCATCGAGCACTGAAGACTCGTAGATCAGGACTGGGATGTGGAGACATGAGAAGGGGGCGTGCAGTTTTGCCTTCCCCATGACCCTTGAAAGTATTACGCGGACCGGCTATGATAGTGTCAGGAGACAGTCTAGCGAGGGGATTTTCAGTAAACATCAGCTACTCACCCCGTCACAGATCAGTGAAAGCAAAGGTTTCAAGCGCTCCAGTGCATCAGAGTCGAGCGGGCTCTCGACGTATACCTCGTCCTTGGGGAGTCCTCGGAACGCTTCTGTTTCGAAATATTCCCGAAAGCTTGGAATTAGCCTATCCCTGGCCAACGTATAATTGCATAATTGAAACATAGATAAATGCTTGGACATTTTGCGGCGTGGCTTTTGTTTGGCAAATGACTCCCCGACAGCGGACTTCATGTGGATTCTCTTTTATCTACCCCGCTAAGTCACATGCTAGTTCTGGTATGACAATCTCACCGCATCCATGACAGGATGACAACCATATCGAAAACCCGCTATTGCTGTTGCCAGGCACACGTTCCCTGATTACTGTACATCTCGATCAGCTAACTGGATAAGCATCCGCAACTGTATCGAATCGACTGGTTTAATGACCGACACTAATCCAGGACTATAGTAAGGTCAGCCATGCAAGCAGCGTATAAATTGACGGGAGACGTTACTAGAGAGAATCTCTTCTTCCCAGACCCCGACCTCATAGTCCACTAGTCCATGCTTTTCTATCCTGTCACAGATAGCAATTAGCTCCTCACCAAATATTTCTATTTGTGCAATGCTCAGACATGGGTCGGGAAGAGGAATATTCGCCTTCATCGAAGCCCGAGTCAAATCCTTCTGCTTCTGCCAGACTGCGGGACAGCAGATATTGAACTCGCTCCAGAGTCTGCGTTGCATAGAATGAACCGAAGTGTCGTCGTACAGAATGCCTGATAGAAACGGCGTGAGCCCATGGTCAGTGAAACAGTCCAAAACAACACATATAAGCGATAAACCTTGAGACATACCGCGCGCTACTGCATCACTAGTAACCCAGAGGAGAAATCCTAATATGATCTCTGCTGCCTCGGCGGTTCGGTTGAGAAGGCACAGACAGAGAGCTTCATCCCGATCCCTGCCGAATTGCCTCAGGATCTCCTCCAAGCAGATTTCGGCCGGATGACCCTCTTCTATCGTCTCCCGTTCTTCAAGCTCTTCTGCTGGGATTGAATACCTCAGGTGGTCAGCACATGGGGCGTAAAGGCGTAAAACGTCCGTGGAAAAGGTATCAGCTTGGTGTACGTGGTCGTTCCCGTCGTACAACAACCTAAGAAGGATAGCATTAGTTGAGGCCAACAGAGCGACGGATGCTAGTTTATCTCTTACATCAGTAAGTTTTTCATAATGATGTACTATCTCCGAAACCCACTTAAAGACATCGCGGGAGTGAGTGTGGCCAGGTAGGACGTTGGTGAGCCTTGCTTACCGACGCGGTGCAGATTGGCAGAGAGTGGGCATATGTAGACAGGATCCTCGCTATGTTGATGTCGCGCACGACTCGTTCGTGAGCTGAATGTCTTCCATAGCGCGATCATCCAAGATAAACCGTGGTTCTAAGTCAATATGCATCAAGTGGAGCGTGGAAGAACTTGCTTGCTCTTTCGACCACGGATGGCGCGAGCTGCACCTCCTTGCAAGCACACTATGGTTTACCGTAATCTGGTAGTGGGGAATGAATGCAGCCGACCATCATTCTACGCGTATCATGTGGCCCAACGGCCGGTCTTATGCATGGGATAATGATAATCATTCGATCTGCATGCGTGAACACCACCTCCGTGTCGTCATCCCTGTGCCTCTGTGGTGATGGGGGTGCCATGCTACCGCACAGACTTGATCCTATTCCAAGGGACGACTTACCATAGATTGGCCGGTGCTCCAGGTTACATCCACACCAAGATTAGTGTTCTAGACCACCCAGCAGACAGACCTGTCTCTCAGTGTTCTTGGCTCGCTCGACTAATCGCTTCCAGCCGACAGTCAGACAGCAAGGGTGTCGTAAGGATAGTCCGTGGTTGTTGGTTGCCTTGGCGCTTCCCTCGTTTTTAATTATATCTTATTCTTGGTCTACAAGATATAATGGCTGGAATTCCTCTCAGAGGCTGCCGCGATAGATTCACACTCTTCAATAGCCGTTTTCGTCTGAATCCTGCGTTGGCATCTGCCCTACTCCGTGGCTACTCCGTCCAATGCGCCCTTGGCTGGGGGTAGGAACCCCACTGCCACCAAGCTTTTGTTCCTCTGCCGTGAATGATATCGAGTCGTCGGGCTGTAGTGTTTGGCCATCGAAGTATTCGGCTCACCCAGGGACCGGAGACTCTATGCTTCTGCTGCGAAAAGAATCACCAAGTTGGAGCAGTCGTGAGCTTGCCCAGATAATCTAAGGCTACTTGCGGCTTATATTCTCTCAGGTGCATGAAACCTATTTCGACGAGGTCAAGAAGGCTTGGCATATCTTTCTGCAACTAGAGGAGCAGCGCCGCGAACTGGAAAAACAAATGATAGAATATAGTGTGTTGCCCAGAGGATTTGAACGTATCGACTGACCTGTCAAAAGTTCCAAGGAGGACCATTAGATCTCAGCAAGAGTTGTTCCTGCGTGACAACGGACGTCTCCCATCCGAGATCGGGGCCTCGTTCATGTTGTCATAGACGCCTTCAAGATGTGTGCGTCATCCAAGCATGACCCGAATTATCTTTGATAATAGGCGAAGAGTTCTGCATAGCAGCCGGACATTTGGAGAAAGAAGACAACAATATGATTTCTGTAAAACTCTACTAATATCGCCTATTCCCGTCTTTATTTCTCTAAATTCTTCCCAGGGGCTTGATATCGCTTCCTTGAGTCTGTACATCCATGCGTTTACCATGATTTGGTAGTGGGGCAAGGCTTTCGCATCCACTGATTGGACATTTCATCCGAACCAACTTTGGCTACTTCGATCTAGAGGCGGCGTCAGTACCGGGCCCTTGGACATAAATCAGATATGGCACACCCGACCTGTAGTTGACCCGGTTGTTACTTTCGACCCTTGTTCTTCCGGCCTCCAGGACGTATCGCCCCTTATCGCGAGCGGAGAAGACATATGCAACCCTCCCATGATGGAATCAAGATCCGAGACTCACTACGACTCGGACGTGGAGCTTGATGTGTATGCCCATTTCATTATTTCAGATCCGTTTCTTATCCTCCATAGGTCTCTTGAGTCGCTCGATGATTCGTTTAAAGTTATAATCAGTGACCATGGACGCTACTATTCGTCCCGCTATCGAAGACGCCATCCTTTCCCCGTCGACCAGGTTTGTGTCCTATCGTTCACCTCCGACTCTCCGCTAATCAAATTATGGATAGAGAGATCGAGAACGTCAAAGTAAGTTGGACACCTTTCCTGACGCTTCATTACTGATGTCTTATTGAACGCCAATTTCACGCATATTGCGAACTGTTCAATTGGAGGTTATGTCCCGTGTCTGCGGGTGCTGCTCGGAAGGTTCTCGACGTGAAGACTGGTGCTGGACGTTGGGCAATCAAGTTCGGTATATGTCAAGTGATCATGTCTCTATACACATACTGAAACGACAGCTGAAGAACACCCGTCGTCAATGGTAAGTTGTCTCCTGATATCGCACCAATACATCAACTAACCGCAAAGGTTTTTGCGATTGATACAATTTACATGCAAGAAGAATGGTATGGACCAAAATGATGGTTTCCGCTAAGGCCAGTCTGACAGGACAAGGGTCCCACGTAACTGCGAGTTCTGCATCGACGACCTAGATCAGCCGGACTGGTATTATCCTTTCAGAGACAGTGACTTTATCCATGTTGGTGGACTGGGGGGAGACCGCCAGCTTTTGACGTGCATCCTACAGGGTGCATACCGGTATGGCCTCACACCACGTATCGCTCATGCTAATACAGTATCAGGTGCTGCTCACCGAATGGCATGTTGGAAATATGGGACAGCAACGTTCATTTTCAAGACCCTCACGGCGAAACTGGCCTCCACCGTCTCTACAATGACATGGATAAAGCCTTTAATTGGACGGACGCTCACTTGATCTCCCCCTCCAATACCTCTCGGAAATGGAAAGCCACGGCTTTACCGACGTTGCGGAGCACGTCTATCGTATACCACTTAACACGGAACGGCCGATGACCCAGAAATCGGTTGTGGTGGGCTGGGCAGACGGATTTGAAGCGTACAGCATGGATTTACTGGTTAAGCACCTAGGAAAGCGCCATCTTGAAGTTTTTCTCATCTGTGCTGCCGCGCGTCAAGCCCTGCGGAAAGGGGTGGAAGGCTGGCTCGAAATGTAGGTCACAACCAAGTATACATTAGACTCCTCACTGACGATCACAGCCGTATAACGTCCGGGCGAAAACCAACAGCGCCTCTGTGAAGATTTCATCAATGTCCCTTTATGAGTTCAAGAAAGCAAAGGCGATGCACATCAACCAAGCTCCGCCTGTGTCCCTATCTTATCCCTGGCCAAGCATTGAGAAAAGCCGGGATGCCCCAGTCATATATACTACATGTTGTCAAGAAATGGCCCACAATCGACATCGCATAACACTGGGAGATCCACAAGATAAACGTACTGAGAACGATAGACACAGAGAGAAAACGACGGTAAGTTCTGGTCAGAACTTTCGTCTTCCTTCCACCTGAGGCCAGCAACGACGTGTACGTTAGAAGCTGATGCTCCGCCAAATGTCTTCGGAACATTCCGCATTGCAGATTGTGTCATAGCCCACCCCTAGGACGAGGCAGTCATGGAAAATCAAATCATGGTGATTGACTGGGTGATGAATGCCCTGTCATTGGGCAGCATACAATTACTCGTGTTTAGCCTTCCTTGCTGCATGGTTGGTTGTCGTCCTTGCGTTTCCAGAGCGAGCTACTACTTCTGTAATTGGCTCACTAGAGACCATACCAGAGAATCGCTGAATAGCAAGAGTGGTTCGATTCGGTTTTTGGTGGCTACTTAGGGGGGCAGTGACTGCGCTTACTGCAAATTAGTACATGAAATGTCCAGGAGCTCTGCTCTCAAAGACTTACTCCATGGCCAAGAAGTGATGATTGTCAAAAGGAATTGGGGGCGATTGAGAAGACGCGAGAGGAGCTCTCCAATATCGAGCAGAAATTAAGAAGAGGTCAGGAATGTCCTGAAGCAGACAATCTACCATATCTAACCTACAGTTTTGGACGCGACATCCACACTAGACCGGGAGCTGGGCCATCGCCATAGCACTGTTGCCCGACTTCTTAAGGATCGAGCACGCGATGGGTAGAGGGCAGGACCAGGCTGTGTCTACATGAGCACAGGAGATATGGAACAGGGTAGTACCCTGGAGGCCCTGGTTCAGGAGACAACTGGGGATTCAGCTTCAGCTCAAGACAATGGGGCCCCTTTGCTTGTAGCTCGAACGATGCACGGGGTTGAGCCAGCCGCTCAGCTGAAGCCGATTGCTGATGGCCCGCAGGAAACACCAAATCTGGCTTCTGCTGAGAGCGAGGGATTCAGTGGGATTGAACCGGTAGGCCGAGAGGCTGACCTTCAAAAGCCTGCCTCACATACCGAGCCCTTTATTCAATGCCTTAGCGAGTAAGCCTCATCTGGAATATCCATTGTACATTTGCCTCTAGCGGAGAACAAGTGTGCTCGATGATCTAGAATCCAAGGATGTGATGTGCTGGTCGCAGGATGGTCATTCTTTCTCAATTCTCGCGGAGAATGATCTACCTGCCGAGTTGCTTGACAGATTTGGGACGGAATGCCTTCAGTCTTTGGTTCGGCGATTATATTACTATGGATTCCATAAAGTTGGTGGGACCTGGAGACACGACCTATTTGCTCGAGGCGTATCGAGTTCCATCTGCCCAGGTCGGCGGAGCAGCAATTCCCCCTTGACTGACATTAGGCACGGACTCGGACCTCGGTACAAGATCATCCAGAGACGCAGAGGCCGTAAAAGACATGGGCAACTCGGTATTGGTGTTCCTCGAAGAGTTCACATTGCCTGCTGAACTGGGCAGTTTTGAGCTAGTACTCTCAACATGATTAGCTGAACTTGCCTGGCCCAAGTATTTATGGTCAAATGGAGTGCAGAGTCGGGTGACATAAAATTAAATGCTAGCAAACATCAAGAATTACTGAGAATAATCACAGCTTGTAGTCTTTTGGGTGGGTCGGAGATAACATGCTGAGGCAGGAAACTCTGGTCCCCATATCATTTGAGGACAGCCAGACCTTGGCTGATGTGAGTGATTGCTGAACCAGTCCATAAGTTAGCTTGAAAATCTTCATCATTATAGACTGCGTTGACTGACCCAGAAACAGTGTATTGTTCTTAGCAACTCTGGGCAACCATGGCAGTGTCCTGAGGCCGGAAGAACAAGGGTCGAAAGTAGCAACGGGTCAACTGCAGGTTGGGTGTACCATATCTGATTTCGCCGGCTTTAAGGATCGCTTTGAAATGCGGGAGGCCAACCAGGACGAGCCTTCAGTGCTTCCGGGTAGGAAAGGTGTCCATCCTGTTATTTTCCTAGCACTCCTGATCAGACCAGGCTAACTATTATCTTGTCCGAAGGGAATAGTACCATGGTCGCCACTCAGCTCACTCCAACCCCTCCGTTTGTCCCGTACCTACCAATGAGTGGACCCAAGCCTTTGTGCCCTGCAGATAGCATCCTACGGTACGTTGTCCCTATTCCATGGATGGGCAATAAAAATAGCCACGGTCACTGCCCAGGCGGCCGAACGGGGCAACGCTTGAACGTGGATATGACACCTGCTGAACGTGCTCTTTCCACCCCGCC